CGGTTGTTACAGCGTTGGCTCCTTAAATGTAGTGGCCGAGATTTTAGTACTATTTTAGCTATAAAGGGCATTGATACATTACTGGCCATAAATGTAGCCTTTTATATAAATCACGCTGACCTAAAAATGTTAGTGGCACATTCCTTTCTGGTCTTTTGGTCTCAGAAGACAGAACTTTAGAGATGATATTTGCAGTAAATCATGGAGCATCAGTTTCTCCACTGACATTGTGTGGTAGAATTTTCTGGCTAACATTGGCTGGGAGCCCCATTGCAGATAACCAAATGTTGCAAATTAAAGAATAAATGAAAGTAGAAACAGAACCCCTTTTAGTACCGCACTGCTCAAATTGCTTTTATTTCTTTCTACAAGTGTAAGTGAATTTGTGGAAGCGCTGTATTAATTTCTGAGGATACCTTTTGTTAAATGAATATAGCTTTGTAGGAATATTCCCCTCAGTGAAGAGCTGGCTACAGTACTGTTTCAGCTGTTAAAACACTGAGCATTAAAGCCCTGGTTGAGTAAACATCTCCGTCAACACATCCACACCCACCAGCACTGCCAAGGCAACATTAGTGTGGTCAGGGCATGGGTGCTGGGAGAGAGCTCTCCAGCGCTTTAAGTAAACCACCTACGTGAAGGGAATAGCTAACAGTGCTAGGAGGGCGTTTACACTGGCACTTCACAGCGCTGTAACTTACTGCGCTTTGGGGGGGGTATATTTTTTCACACCCCTGAGTGAGAAAGTTACAGTGAAGTAAATGGCAGTGCAGGCAAGGCCTAAATTTGGGAGAAAGATAGAACCCTTGTAAATTTTACAAGGTATGCGAGCATATTGCACAGGAGGAGGAAGCTAGATCTCTGGGCCATACATAAGGGTCTGATTGACTTCTCTGTCAGAATCCTACCACCCGGTTATTGCAGGGCAAAAATTTATAAATGTAACATTTGAAAACAAATGCTTATCCTAAAGGCCATCCCTGCAGTTCAGAGCCAGTAAATAGAGGGGTCTAAGTTTTCAAAAAATGCAGCTGCTATATAATCTGCTTACACCATTGTGCGTGAAGCTGCTCTCTTGCACATGCAGAGTTTGAGCAAGCTTGATATGTTCAAAAGCACATGTACAATTTTTCACGTACATTTACAAAATCTTGCATGTGTCCATCAATTCTGCTGGTAGTGTTTTTATTGTGAGGGATTATTTGCTCCTCTAATAGAAACATCTCAGACCTGTTGCTTGTGTATTATTTGTCCTGGTAATTCTAGATGCCTATAGATTTGTCTGTGTCTTATCCTAGAATCATAGAATACTGGCACAGGAAGGGATCAGTATTTCCTCTAAGCTGCATGGCAGTGCAGCGTCACCCCACCTAGTCAGTCAGCTCCATGCAGAGAGCTCTGAGCCTCTGACTGAGCAGGACTGATTATCTAGATCATCCCTGACAGGTGTCTGTCTAACCTGCTCTTCAATATCTCCAGTGATGGAGATTCCACAACCTCCCTAGGCAGCTTATTCCAGTGCTTAACCACCCTGACAGTTGGAAAGTTTTTCCTGATGTCCAACCTAAACCTCCCTTGCTGCAATTTAAGCCCATTGCTTCTTGTTCTATCCTCAGAGGCCAAGGAGAACAATTTTTCTCCTTACTCATAACACCGTTTTAGATACTTGAAAACCGCTATCATGTCCGCTCTCAGTCTTCTCTCTTCTGAACCAAACAAGCCCAATTCTTTCAGCCTTCCCTCATAGCTCATGTTTTCTTTAATTGTTTTTGTTGCTCTTCTCCAGACCTTCTCCAATTTCTGCACATCTTTCTTGAAATATGCCCAGAACTGGACACACTACTCCAATTGAGGCCTAATCAGCACAGAGTAGACCAAAAGAATGACTTCTTGTGTCTTGCTCACAACAGTCCTGTTAATGCATCCCAGAATCACGTTTGCTTTTTTTGCAACAGTGTCACATGGTTGACTCATATTTAGGTTGTGGTCCACTATGACACCTAGATCCTTTTCTGTAGTACTTCTTCCTAGACAGTCGCTTCCCATTCTGTAGGAGTGAAATTGATCGTTCCTGCATAAGTGGAGTACTTCCTTATTAAATTTCATTCAATTTACCTCAGACCATTTCTCCAGTTTCTCCAAATCAAATCATAAGATTATACCTAGAAAGACCCATAAACCATGTGGCAAAGTTAGTTAGAAATGGGGAATAAATCTTTATTTTTAAATCAAATCATGTAAAGAAGGCATGTACTGTTTCTCCCTCTTCACGGAGCAATGGACCTACCCTGTCCTTGGTCGTCTTCTAGCTTCTAATATATTTGTAGAATGTCATCTTGTTACCCCATGTCTCTAGCTAGATTTACCTTGCTTTGTGCCTTTGCCTTTCTAATCTTGCCCCTGCATACCAGTGGTGTTTGCTTATATTCATCTTTTATAATTTGACCAAGTTTCCACTAGGGATGTAAATGACTAATCGGATACCTGATAAGCAAATGTTCATTGGGTAGTCAAGTAGGAACTTGACTAGTCGCGTCCCCTCCCACCTTGCTCAAGGTCTCTTTCCCCCGACTTTGCCTCAATCAGAGAGAGACAGCACCGGGGGGAGCACGACCCCCCCCACCACCGCTGTCTCCACAGGGGGCTGGGAGCATTTCAAAGGGAGAGAGGCAGAAGGAACCATGGATGGCTCTTGTACATTTCAAAGGGAGAGTGTGGTGAGACAATGAGCGCCCCCACCCCTCTTTATCGACTGATTGAGTAGTCAATGGAAATTCTGATGCCTACTCGATTAAGGTAATTCCTCATTTAACATGTGCCCGCTTAACACGTTTTCGCGATAGCACTTTTTTTTTTAGGGAACGTTTTTTTAATTACATGACTGTCCCTGGAATAACATGATTTCCCCAGCCAGCCTGTTGCCGGCGGCTGCGCAGGGCTTCCCCCGCCTCCCTGCAAAGTGGTGGCGGGTTCGCCGCTCGCCACGCTGTTCCCCGGCAACCCTCCCTCGCCGGACACTGTGCTGGTCCCGGCAGACCCGTCACAGGGGCATACTCCCAACCCAATCCCCCTCCCTTCTCCTCCTCTTCTCTTCCCCAGAGCCAAACACCTCCCCTCCCTGCTGTAATCCAGTCCCCTTTCTCCCCCAACCTTATGTCCTGGTCCCAACAGACACCACCGCTTGAAACGCAACTCCTACCTTTCCCATTATTTTCAATAGGAAAATTGACCCCACATAACACGTTTTCACTTAACATGATCATTTTCTGAAACACATCTATAGTTTTAAATGAAGAATTACTGTACCTGATTAATCAAAATTTAACATCCCTAGTTTCTACTTTTTTTATACAACACCTTTTGATTTTTAGATCATGTAAGATTTCCTAATTGATCCAAGGTGGTCTCCTGCTTTGGGGCCCTATGTCAGTTTTGACCTTAAAACAAATGGAGATGTACTTAGGATTTTTTTTCTTGTTCAAGAACATAAGTTCCAAGTACCTTAGATGCAGGGTACCTTTGGAATTTACAGTCAATTTCTCATTAAGAGTATTTGGCATTCAGAGAGTAGCTTTCTTTTCAAGAGTTTGTGTTTTACAAATTTCATCCTAATTTTATGGCTGTATAAACTGAGGCACAGAGAGATTACAAATGACTTGCTTCTGGCCACAGAGTGACTGCGTGGCAGAGCTGGGAAATACAGTACATGCCCTCTGTACATGCAAATTGGTTTAATTGACTATCATATTACAGGGAATAAATTTTTATTTTTAAATCAAATCATAAGATTATACCTAGAAAGACCCATAAACCATGTGGCAAAGATAGTTCGAAACCCTTTGTGAAACGAAACTGGACCAGTTTCATAGCATTCATATTTCTGAATCCTTACTTGGGAAGAAAGAGCTATCTTACTAGGGGAAGAATGAACAGATAATTAGCTGGTGAGGTCATTGTTTGCTTGGGCACTGTAAATGAGGCAGCCAAGCTTGGCTTATAATGTAAACATAGTGTAAAATGTTTATCACCAGCTTTGTCATTCTCCTTATTTGTCAGGGCATCTTGATGAGAAGGAGAAATTTTCTTGTGCTGCATAGAGTTCAGGGAGTTGAGAGATTTCCATAAAAAGGCACAGGCGTTGCTTGGAAGAGCAGAGAGGTTTCTGACTTGGCAGCAATAAGTTAAGCCTGACCTTTTCCAGAAAGAAAATAATTGACCTCCTAAATCATCTCTGTTGGGGATGGGTGGGGGAAGTAAACTCTTGTGCTTGTATTTTGCTGGTTCCATGTTCTTGTTTAATTGCTTGTTTTAGGCAATTATATTGGAAGAAGGAAGAAAAGGTGTGCAGCTAGATTTTAGAGAGAGATTGTTTCTCTTTAATGGACAGATAGATGTCAAGATGCCCTTTTATCAGGGCAACAAAACATGCCACTGTAATAACTCCACATCTGACTGTTCCAAAACACCCAAAAAAAGGTTAACTTTGTAATATTCCCAGAAGGTTAACAGGCCTTAACTTTTGGTGTCCTGAGCAAAGAAAGCAATGTCCTAAGGGAAGGAAGAAATTCCAGAGTCAGACTCCTCAGGTTCCCTGAAATAGGTGAATAACTGAAAGTCTGTTACACAAATAAAGGTAAATCCCAACACTTATAGTAATATTACTCTGTTGAAAGAAACAATAGAAAGACTTTGTACATCTACTAGCATCCTGGTGAAAAGAACATGATGGGGTTTTCAATTATGGGTTTGAATTTGAAGGTTGATCCACCGAGTACAGTAAATTATCATTGTACCATTGAAGTACACATTTGCTTGAGTACCCAGATTTAAAATAAAAATCTTTTTGCTGCTGCTGAAGAGATTTTTGTACTTAGCTATACAGAACAGTCTACCCTGCAAGTAAAATTGCTTTGACAGCAGTTCTTTGGGAAAACACACTGTTTTCGAGGCGCTGCTTGCAAACATGGCTCCTAATTCCATGCTTTCCCCCTGTTTTTCAGATTGCCTGTATTTGAACAGACCACATCATGCGTGAGTACAAGCTAGTGGTCCTGGGTTCAGGAGGCGTGGGAAAGTCTGCTTTGGTGAGTGAGCGTTCAATGTCCAACTCAAATTACTCAGTAAAGGGCAGTCTGAAAAATCCCACCTATGTCTGTTTTCAAATAATATTATTTTACTCTATTGTGACATTTTTGATACTTTCTACATGCACAACAGATGATTGGATAACTGCTACTGGGTTGCTCAGCTGGTTGGAAATATATTAACATTTTCAAATATTTTAAGAAGCAGCACTGAGATTATTATCAGTGGAAAGACTTATTCCATGCACATAACCTAGCATATAAATATACATTTTGTAAATGGCAAGTGTCTAATCTAGAACAAAATGAAGCACAAATTATTGGCTAAATGCTAGTGAATTGCTGATGCCTAAGGTGCAGGGAGCTGGCTTGCCATGAAGGATGTGTGTTTTCCACTGCAAAGGGAACTAAAGCAACATCAGTGTGGCAGGGAATAGTCCACTGGTACTGTAGAAAGATAGCAGTGGACTGATAACCCTGTTCACTCCTGAAGACAGAGGGCTGCTTCTAGGGATGTGAAAGGTTAACCAGTGAGCTTCACCCTTAATGGTGCTGCTGCTTGGTTCCAGTTAACCGGTGGGGACTGCAGCAGCTTCCCTCCTGCCGCGGGCAGGGGGCTGCTCCAGCCTCACAGGGGGCCTGCCATGAAGGGGGCTGCTCCAGTCGTGTGGAGCAGCTTCTGTCTGGGGTGGGCCTGGGCACCCCGCAGGCACCTCTGCAGATGGGAGGGCCACTCCACTACCCCACACACACCCTGCCCAGGCTCCTTTTAATCAGTTATCCAGTTAAACTGGAGTTTACATCTCTAGTTGTTTCTCACTGGTTTGTGTTGCAGTGGTGACAGCAGAGCCAGTGCCTTGTAATAGAGATTCAAGTAATTTGTTCTAGCAGTCAGCTGTCTGTCATATACCTAAGTCAACCTGCTCACTGTTGTAGAGAGCGGGCAGGGAGGGACTGCTGGGAACTTTTTAAAACAAGCCAGTTCACCTTGCCACCTATCACTTCGGGATGGAATTAGCTATCCAACAGTGTTCCCTGTAAGCTGTGCACTTGTGCGATCACTCAAGAGCAATTTAAATGCTGCCCAGCTAGCAGAGCTGTGAAGTTTTCTGTTTCTACTGGTGGTGCACATTCACACATGCCTTGATGCACACACAAATTATTCTGCACGTGGTTTGAAAAAATCCACCAATGGATGGAAAAGATTAGAGGGAACATTACTGTCCAATTATTTTTAATGCAGGTAAAAATACAATGTTAAGGATAATAAGGCTGTTTTCTCTTGCATCCTTTCACTTACACAAGGAGGTGAAAAGGTGATGTACCTGGTGAGTTACCTGCAGAATCCAAAGAGCATGTGAGGGAGAAGATACATGAGGGTGTAAAGCATAGCAAGTTATTAAACAATGCAAATGGTTTGATGAGCTACTTAATTGATTCCCCATAATAATCTATGGTACCATTCAGACATAAATCTTTATTCTTTAAAAATGTGTTTGTGTAGAACCCTTCTCTTGTGTGGTAACTTCAGCAATTAAAGATGAGACGACTTCTCCTCCCACTATAGTCCCCTAGGCTTGTCTGGTTTTTGTTTTTTCCCATTAGGAATACAATATTTTTTATTTTGGAGTCCTGCGATGAGATTCTGTCTAACCTACTGTAGACATCACCAAAATGTCAGACAAATATCAAACTTAGAGGAAGTTTCCTCCCTTGTGATGTGAAGTCTAATCAGTTCAGACCCACAGCTTTTTTTTTTTAATTGAAAATAATATTTTATTTTTCCAAATATGTAGCCTTTAGGTAGGAGTTAGATTTTTTTTTTTTTTTTAATTTCAGACTCATTAATTCTCAAGATCTTTTCTGTGGGCAGAAAACTTGTTTTTGTTTGTTATAAGCAATATGTATGATGGCCTGATTCTCATCTCATCTGTAGCACTGTAAATTATGGGGGGAAGAGGGCAGCTCTGTTAAAGTCAGCAAGTTTGTGCAAGTGATAAAACTGGAATGAATGAATGAATGAATGAATGAATGAAGAATAATTTCCAATGTATTGAATGTCATTGTGCACGCCCAGTGGTAAATACCCATTTGGTAAGCCCAGTGCCGTTGCTGGCACTATGTAACTTTACATTTCATTGCTCACGGAAATAATTGATCCAACACACCTCTAATGGGGATCAAAAATTTAACAGTAAACCAGTCAAGAGCTGATGGCATTGAGAGGTGATCAAATACAAAATTATTTGCATGCAGCCATCAGAAGAGATGTTCTGAGATGGGTTTTAAAATAGCGGAAGAGAATCTAACTATGGAATTTTGGTGTCAATAATAATTCTAAAATTTCTCTTCCCTCCTCCTGCCCAGTGACTTAAACTAAGATGACTTATAAGGAGGCTGGTATTGGTATTCAGTGTTGCATTTGAGTGGGTGTTTAGAATACAATGTGATGGTGTTTCATCGCAAAGCCTCCTCCCTTGTTTGACTCTTATTGCCCAAGATCGTGCTGATTGTGTAGCATTTCTTATCGCCCTGCCTTCTGGTGCGAATGGTTGGACAACAGAAAGTCCTTAGTAATAACTAATGCACTGTTGTTTTAAAGCTTTCTTTTACAAGTGATTTGTTCTGCTCCTTTCTAATGGGAAGCACGTCCTTTGGCCAATCTGCAAGGCAGTAAAGTTACCAGCATTTGGCTGCAAACGGTCGTATATCTAATTGAAAAAACACCAACTGAGCAAAGGTGTAAGATCTGTGCTAAAGGAGAGTAATGTAAGTAAAGGGGCAAAGTGTAGCTGGGAGCTAGGAACTCCTGAATTGTCTCTTCCTGTCTGCCTCCATTACCTTACCTATAAAGTAAGAGTGCTATTTACCTACTCCGCAGGAGTGTTGTGGAGACCAGCAAATGCTGTGAAGTGCTTGGAAGGTGAGGAATAAACACTAGGTAGAGTCACAGGCGAGCCACAGTGTAGTTTAATGTACATACAGTGATGTTTGTATGTAATGGGCAGTCTTAGACCAGGTGAAAACAAGGGACTTTATTTTCTGAAGTGCTGATCCCCTGAAGCAGAGGTGGGGAACCTCAAGCCCGGGGGCCAGATGCAGCTCCTGGCTTGCCTGGATCTGGGCCCCAGGGGGGCTCGCCCAACATTGGGGAGCCTGTGCTGGCACTCCAGCCCCCTGCCCTCCCACGGGGCTGGAGCTCACAATCCACACGCGTGGGCCCCCTAAGGCTGTGGTGCAGGAGGGGAATGTGGGGAGTGCCTTTCTCCTTCTCAGATGGGGGTCTCGTCAGGGAGGACTTTGGTTGTGGGTTGTTTTAACTGCTCACTTGTGTGCGGCTCCTGTGGGTCAGGGCCACAAAAGGTTCCCCGCCCCTCCTCGACGCTTCATTCACAAGGGTGGGCAATAATTTTTTGCAGGGGGGCCACTTAATGAATTTTAATCCGAGGTCATGGGTCAGCTCTACCCCGGAAGGGGCAGGGCTTGAGGTGGAAGGGTCGGGACTGGGGACTATCCTGCCCCCTGAGTGGTCTGGGGCCAGAGGCTTTGAATTAAAAACACAGCAAAAGGCTTGCGGCTCCCAGCCCTGCCACTACCATGTAGCCCCGCAGTCGCTCGGGGCTGCTGCAGTTATTGAAAGGGCTCATGATTCCAGCCCCTGCCGGGGTGGTGCCACCGGCAGCCGTGAGCCATTTGAAAAGGATCCTGCTGCCTGAGCCAGTGCCTGGAAATTCAGTGGCTCAGGCAGCAGGATATAAATAGAAAGCGACCAGATACTGTCCGCAGGCTGGATCAAAGTGAGAGATGGGTCGAATCTTGTCCAGCCATGTTCTATGGTGTTTGAAGCAGTGGTTGAATAGTAACTCCTCACTTAACATGTGCCCGCTTAATACATTTTCGCGATAGCACGATTTTTTTTAGGGCACGTTTTTTGAATTACATGACCATCCCCAGAATAACATGATTTCCCCAGCCAGCCCATTGCCTGTGGCTGTGTGGGGCTTCCCTTGCCTCCCTGCAAAGCGGTGGAGTGTTTGCCGCTCGCTGCGCCGTTCCCCGGAGACCCCTTTCCCCCTTTGCTGGGCGCAGTGTGGGTCCCAGCAGACCTGTTACAGGGGCATACTCCCAACCCAGTCCCCCTCCCTTCTTCTCCCCTTCCCTGCCCCTGAGCCAAACACCTCCCCTCCCTGCTGTAACCCAGTCCCCTTTCTCCCCCAGCCTTATGTCCCAGTCTCAACAGACCCCACCACTTGAAACGCAACCCCCACCTTTTCCATTATTTTCAGTGGGAAAATTGACCCCGCATTACACATTTTCACTTAACACGATCATTTTCTGAAACCTATCTATAGTGGTAAATGAGGAATTACTGTATTTTCTGAAAATCAGGCCTTGCGGATTCAATTAACAGATGCATTATATGTTTGATTACTATATGAGTTGTGTTGGGATGTTATATTAGTTAGAGAAGATGTTCAAAGTGGTCTGCAACGTTGTAGCACCTGAGTGTTGAAAACTAACCTGCAGATGAGGGGAAACTATTAACAGTATACAAATGAGCTATGGTTGGTTCTTTGAGTCATGACTGAATCACATTTTCCATTATTAGCCTCTTAACCAAAACCCAAGTCTCTGTACCCTTTTTGGTACCACCATTAAGAAATCTCCCGATTAGATTGTGGTGATTATAAGGAGTTCTTGTTATTGTGATTGTCCTGGTGCCTTGTGTAACACCTCCTCTCATCGAATTACTTATGATCTTGTTTATAGTGGTATTTCTGGGATCATCTGCCTTTTGAGACTGCGTCATACAGTGTGGTAGGGAAATGGCAGAAAAGAAAAGACAGTGTTTCTAGACCGCTGGCTTCCAACCTTTTTTCATTTGTGGACCTCTGAAAACTTTGAATGGAGGTATATACCCCTTTCAAAACATTAAACAGAGTTTCAGACTCTCACGGGTGCACAGAGCACAGCTGGAAAGCCCCTGTTCTAGAAAACAGAATGGGTTTAGTTTGTGAAGCAGAACGATTTTTGAACAGGGGAGAGAGGGCATGTGCCTCCCATCTGTAGCAAATCTTCTCTAACATGAAAGTGAGAAAATAATTTTCTTCTGAGTTTAAAAGAAACCAGAGTGTGTTCTGTGCTCTCTGGAATACAATGATGCTCCCCTTTCAAAACCTGAAACCATTCTTAAAGATCAATAGCATGTGTGAGTCCTCATGCGTGTGTACACACACACACACACACACACACACACACACACACACACACACACACACACACACACACACACACACACACACTTTCTACGCAAATAAAGTATGGCTACTGTAAAAGCCAGGTTGATTTACAGTAAAGCTGCTGGTCAGTTTCAGCAGTGGCAAACTTGAGGAAGCCCGGGGCAGAGCAGCTGGGGTACTGCCGGGTTGGTCCCGCAGCGCCGCCCTCCATCTCCCCCACCCAGAGCCCTCATAGCGCCCCCTTCCGATAGTCCAGCATATTTGATAATCCAGCAACCCCTGGGTCCTAAAGGTGCCAGATTATTGGAAGTTTACTGTATTTACTTTCAGTCTATAAACTGCTAGATTTGTGGCATTTATCCCTGGCTTTATATTTCCAATTTTGTTTAGGAATATTATCTCAAGCTCCCCGGGCCTATTGAATCCCTGTTTAATAGAAAATGAGGCACAGAGGTTGCTACTACCTATATTTACGTAGCAAGTCAGGGACAGGTTAGCATTAGAAATTAGTAGTTCCTGGTTCACAGATCCAAGTTTCTGTAGTAGATTATATAGCAGTATCTTATCTCCTCCCAAGCTGTGATCTGCAGCAGTCTGTCTAGTTGCATTTGGAGCTATGTTTTCCTTATTGCCCACTATTAAATGACATTAAAGAAGCTAAAAAAGCGCTCTTTTATGTAAGCAAATGCTGTGATTGTTATAGGGATTCTCTGCCATCACAAATGTGAGAGGGAATATGGGAAGCACATGGCTTTCCATTCAGATATGATCCATGCTATGGAAGACATTTGCAAGGCATGGAATAGGTGAAAGCCATCTATCTCATAAGGCAAAAGTAGAGAAAACCATAGCTGGGTTGGCAGACCAGTGTAAGTGTCCATCCAAAAGCCCTTAGAGAACAGACAAAAGGTATAGATTCCTCTACAGATTTAGGGTAAATATTGGCTATCCAGCCACCAGCCACGTTGAAAGCTTCCCATCCTAGTTTTCCTCTGAATAAGGGAGGAAAGAACTTCAGCTCTGAAACAAGGGGTATCTTCTTCCTTCTCTTTGAATGTCAGCTGGGATTGTTGAATGCTTGGTGCAAGGTTCTATTCAGTTTGTATTCTTTTTATATATATATATATATATTTTTAAATGTAGTATTGGCAACTGGAAGGCGAAGAAGCCAAAACATTATATTGCATGAAGCTATAGATTAGCTGCTATCTAATCATCTAAAACGTTTCATATATTAGTAAAACAATAGCATACAACTTTACAGGTTTTTTAAATGTCATCCTGAAGTCTTTGCCGTATCAGTTGGTCAGTATTAATGTGTCATTGATTGGTATTATCTTAGCACCATGATGTCCAAATCATAGGCTAGGTTCCGTGGTGTTAGGTGCTGCACGCAGAACCAACCTCCCTACCCCATCCTCCCACCCCCGCCTACTGTCCTGAGAAGCTTATAGTCTCAGCTACTATGTTTTAATAAGACTGAGAGCTCTAAGTGAAATATAGGGGCTTTCATGGATCTACTTGACTGTGTTGCTATCTTTCTGGATTTTATTGGGAGTCTCACAGTATTGGTGGTTTTCCAGTTGCTTTGTGAGATTTTGTGAGTCTGTCACTTTAAAAAAAAAAAAAAAAAAAGAGTTTCTACTAGGGGTGTTAAAACAGTTATCTGGTTAAATGATAGTGCTTACCTGGTTAACCGTTTTAATCTAGGCCCCACTGTAGCCATGAGATCCTGCTATGGCTGTGGAGCCCCACCATAGCTGAGCTGTTCTGGCCTGGGATTGCTGGTCACTGCCGGAGTTAACTGGCAACGGTTGGTTAACTAGTAAGCATACCCAGGGCTTGCCAAACGGTGGCGAGCCCTGCTCGCCAGCCGCGCGCTTGGGCATGCTGCACATGCACTTACTGCACTGTGTGGCTGTGCTGGCTTATAATCTACTTGCCACAGGCGAGTAGATTACACTAATTGTCGAGCCCTGAGCATACTCATAAGCCTAATGTCCACCAACATGCTTATCGGTTAACCATTTAACATTCCTAACTTCTACCCATCATGTTTTTAGAGAAATTCTTGAAAATATGACCGTGCACCCTGAAACCTCACAAATTTAAAAAAACAAAACAAAAAAACCCAACCTACTCCACTTTTTAGTACTTAAAAAAAAAAATGTGTTTTGGTCCTGCCTCATGACTTTGAATGGTTGAGTTGGCAGTACTGATGTGATGCAGAGTTTACACTGTTTTGTTTGAGTTTTATTCTTTAACTGGTTTCCCCCTTTTGTTTTTCAGACCGTACAGTTTGTTCAGGGAATTTTTGTTGAAAAATATGACCCCACAATAGAAGACTCATATAGAAAGGTAGAGTATAAAATTATGCTGTGTTTTATCCACGTTTTTGGGATCTGATCTGATCCTGCTCTCCCTCCTCCCCCCCCCCCCCCCTTTTAATTCAGGCAAAATTTCTCTGTTGCAAGGATTTTGTCTGAGTAAGAAGTGTGAGTTTGAATCTGTATTAGTGCAGTCATACTGGCTCCCTCTGTGCAGCTAGTTCCCTGTGCCAATACGGCGCACTGTGCAGGATCAGTACCTGAGGGTGTATGCAATAAAAGACCTATGGTATGGCTACGACTGTCCCAAATCAGCTGACTCTCTGGCTTGAAAAGCTTAGATTTCAGGCCTATAAAAAAACACTGCACTGATATTCAGGCTTGGACTGGAAGAGTCCATCTCTTGAGACCTTGAGAAGAAAGGGGTACCTGGGTTTACAGTCCAAATCTGAATGTCTAGACTGCAGTTTTTAGCCCTGCATTCTGGGCTCTAAGAGGTAGCACCATCTGATTTTTTTTATCATAATGTAGACATACCCTCAGTGGTATAAAGTCTGAAGTTCATGGTTAGCTGACATAACATTGATTGCCATTTAAAGATAAGCGAATAAGAATTTCATGCCAGACCACTTGCAACGTTTACTACTGTAAGTAAAAGAGAGAACACAAATATCACCAATTTAAGTACTGCAGTATAGTAATTGTGGTTGAAAAATAAAACAAGCCCATTACTTTTGAGCTCCAATGAGTGTTGCTTGGTTTTCAGGCATATGAAGTTGTTCACTGCTTTTTTGGAAACAAGCTTTCAGTTACAAAGCAGAAGCCCTTGTTTGAATCCTTGGCACCGTGGCTTGATGTAATTCTATCCCTAAAGCTGCATTCTCCACTCACATTGATGTAAAGAACCCCATTGTTTTAGAGATAAGAATCATGGTTGTCATAATTAAAGGCCCCCAAACCCAAAAAAGGGAAAGGAAGTGGTGATTTTGTGTGTGTGACAATTAAGTGAAAAAAAATGTTAAAACCTTTGTAGTCAAGTTGGTTTTTCTGGAATTACTCTCTTTAATCTGAAATGATTTTTAGTATGTGGAATGCTTGAAAAATATAGCTGTAGTTAGAGGGTTTTTGGAGGGTTTGAGGAGGAATGAAGGAGAGCCTAAGCTAAAGGGCTCTTCAGTTTCTAATTCTGTGTGTGTCTCTCACTAGCACACTTATGAGCATATGAAAATGTTTTTCCTTACAGTTTATTGTTTCTTTCTTTTTTTCCAGCAAGTGGAAGTAGACTGCCAACAGTGTATGCTTGAAATCCTCGATACAGCAGGGACAGTAAGAAAAATCTAAAATACAGAATTGTTAATGTTAAAAAGGAGATTGGATTTTAAAAGTAGGATTTGTCAATGAAATAGCCCCAGCTTGTCAAAAAGAAATTTTTAGATTGACTGCTGCTGTATTACACTGCTCTGCTTTGTTAAATAACCCAAAAGCCAATGTGGTGAACCTGCCACCGGAACACGGCCAAACCCAGGAAGACTGCCTACACTCACTATGCTCTCGAATGAACTCATGTAGGAAAATAAGACACAAACACCCTATCGCTCTGTCTAACCCCTCAGCCCTTAGCCTCAAAGGAAACCCGCACAACAATTTCACAAGGCAAGCCTGGCAGCTGAAATTCGTAGCTTTGCTAATCAAGCGTGAAAGTAGCTTATATTTCTGCAGGTACTGTTGTATCCCCCTCCCCAAAGTGGTGGGGAGAGAGTCAGGGCAGGGATTTAGGGGGTGAGGCAGGATTGCGGGGGTGGGGAAGAGTGCCCCTTAGGGAGGGCAGGAGGGGGCTAAGGCCCCCTCCCCCCAGTGCTGCTTGTTGCTTTCTGTTCCCTTGCTGTTCGGGAGCAAGAGGAAAGCTCACAGCATGGGTCACTCACTCACTCTGGCCCCTGCCTGGACCAGCCAAGAAGGAGAGGAATGCAAGGATGTTGGGTGCTGGCAGCGGTAGTAGGAATGAGGGGGAGGCTTCAGCCCCCCATTCCCTCCATAAAGGGTGCTGCGTAGGGCAGGGGAACAGGCAGTCCAGATCTGTGTGGGGTACAGTCCAAGCCAGCCCCTTTCACCTGCCTGCTGTTTTGTGTGGCAGCCTATAGGAGATCCCCAGGATCCCAGCTGCCCCTCCTCCAGTAGCTGAGTGCCCATGTTGACTCCTAGAGTGCAGCACAGCAGGGAGCTTTCACCTCTGGTCTTAATAAAGACACTGGATTTATGGCTTAGTACAATCTGTAACCCACTAAACCCTCCACCCCTTTTTTTGGCCCTATGAACACAGGGGTGGTAACGGGCCACCTTACCTTGAATGGTCCTTTACCAGGTGGGCTCTCTGTTTGATCTGTTACATAGTTTTGGCACTCTTAGTGCCTTTCCCAGAGCAGAAGGTTGTTTCCAATTGGTCCAGTTAAAGATATTCCCTCCCCTCCCCTGCCTCTTGTTAGTGATTTGTAGAGGTTACCCAGCTGTGGGTTAGCGCTGCTCCAAATTCTGAACATCCTATCAGCTCCTCAGTGTAATAAATTGGTGTCTTTATAACACGATGCTGGAATTTGAGGATGAGAATTTCAAATGTATTTTCTTGTGGTGGTGCCCAGAGCTCAGCACTGTACAGATGCTACCCGGGGTTCTTTCAACCCAAACCTCTTGGTAACTTTTACTTTCTGCGAGGTGGGGTCAGGAAATAATTCAGGGGAGACACGGTTGTCTGATCGATAGATGGATGGTACAAACAGGACAATACAAGAGTGCTTTCACTTAAAGCTAAACTTTGTCTCAAGCACTTACACACATCCGCAACCATTTGGTAAAACACTCTTACCCTCGATAATTAGCAAAGTTGAGTGTGGCTCTCGAGTGACACCGAGCAGGCTTCCGATGGCCAGTCTTCCGTCTGCTGGTGGGGACAAAGATGCGTCCAGAATTGAAGAGTCCTCAAGGAATCCTTGAGGTGTCCGTCCAAGTGTAACCAAAATTGTCCCCCCTAACTCAAACTTTCCTCCCCTGTTTATCTATTAGTATTACAATAAAATGTCACACACAAACTTGTTAGGCAAGCACTTTTTAAAGCTTAGGCAAGAGCTTTTCTTCTGATCATTGCTTTCACCAGAAGCGTTTTTTTCTTTTTCAGAGACTTCATGCTCGGGACCCTGATAGATATATGTCTTAGGGCATTTAGACAAACTTCCTGTTTTTCTTAATGTATAGCTCAGCGATTTCACTAGAGATTTGGGCCTCAGGAAGGACGCAGGGTCAAGCTGCCCTCTCTGTGGCACCCAAACTCGCCCTTCTTCCCCCTCCCTGGCTTGGTCATGCTGTCTAGTTAGCTTGGTTGCTAAAGTTTAAGCAGTATGCAATAGTGGTTCAGGCACATTACTGGATTTGACGAAATCTCCCTGTATGCAGAGCTTGAAGTCAGAGGCCCGAGGGACGGTACCAAGCAGTAGGACACAGTGGGTGGTGGGTGACCCTCATCATGAAACCTCACCATTCCGTAAGCTAATGATGGGCATGCTTAAATGACCCAAACTCTGGCTTGTGTCCAAACAAATGCTCTGCCAAGCCACTGCTCTTGCACCTGCCGCCTCCTTTCTTAGAGCAGGCCCTCCCATGCCATGTCTCTTCTCCAGACTGTGGTGCAAAGGATATTCTTCTCCTTTAGCTGCTTCCCACGTTAGGGAGGGCAGGGTGAACCAGCAGCCTCTCCTGGGCTCCAGTCTCCTTTGCAGCAGCTGGGGATGTCCTTTCAGTTCCCCCACCCCTCATGTGGCTGGGCTGGCAGTTGGAGCAGATAAGGAAGGGCCTTGTGCCTCCTGGAGGGATCCCTTCCTGCCTAGGTCAGCTGCCTCTCATGCTACTTCTCTGTGCTGCCCAGTTGGTAAGAGCTTTGTAAAAGCTCACTGGCCAAGCCCCTTTATCACCCTGTGGGAGGGGTCACCAAACAAACAGACTTGAATTGTTCGGAGGAAGATCTGCTGCTTAGAAAAGTTTTAAAACACAATTGTTGTTTATTTTGGGAAGCACTTGGATACCATGATGTTGAAAGTAGCCCAGGCAGATGGAAATCACAGTATGGGAAGAATTTCTAGTGAAGGTTCTTTCCCTGACTTGCTATCTCATGCATCTGACCTGGACTTCCCCCAGTCCTGTTTTTCCACAGCTGTATGTTTCATCACATTGAATCTTCAGTCCATTCACATGCAGCAAATGACTGCTGTACAATTACAGGTGCTTAGATGTGAGCTCACGCTTTCTCCCACACACTCGTGTTCACAAAAAAACACCAGTGTGTGGCACCCAGCCAGTCTCTGTACAATATGAGAGCAGGGATCATATTTGCAGACTCACTTCTCCAGCAGTGAAATCTAATCGCTGCCTGCCACTGGACAGAGAGAATATAGCATTTGAAAGACCACTGCAAATATGTTAATCAAATATTAGCAGTATGCTTTAGATCTACATTAGTCCATATTTATCACTGAAAAATATTTTCCAGATTTAATTCTATTGCATCTCCTGCCTTTTTTTCCTGCTATTTTTGTCTGCTCCTCTAATAGGATTTTTTCTTCTGCCTGAGGGGGGATGAAGGAGGAGGGAAGGAATTGAGTTAATGTTTTTATTAAATTCATGTGCTTCACTGGATTTCTGTAAGGGGTAAAAATGTAAATGTCACATTAGCTACTACATTCTTATTTCTATTGGAATAAAAGGATTCCTTTTGAAATGTTTGTTATATGTATTAAATAGCTTATTAATTATCTTTTAAAATATTTGATTACAGGAGCAATTTACAGCAATGAGGGATCTCTACATGAAGAATGGTCAAGGGTTTGCACTAGTATATTCTATTACAGCACAGTCCACGTTTAATGACTTACAGGACTTGAGGGAACAGATTTTACGGGTTAAGGACACTGAAGACGTAAGTAAAGGACTTTGTTTTGTGAGCCATTAAAATCCTTCCACAAGTAAACAAGCAGGCCTCTGTTTTTTGAGCAAGTTGATGAATGGAAGAATACTAATGCCCTGGAATTTTTTTTTTTTTTAGCTATATAATAAGATTGTATTAGATATTTTAGAAAAAATATTTTTATTTTTAACGTTGACTGTATTGAGCAGCTTTTCAAGAGCTCAGCATCCAAAATTAGGGTTAGATTTCGCAAAAGATCTCTTCTCCCATTGGGGGCATAAATGAATTGGCCAGATTTTTAGACGTGCTCAACATCCAGGCGTCGCTGGTGAGAATAAAATAGGAAGCACTGATTGCTGAAGGGTTTTGAAAATCTGTCCTTAGTTAATTTTCAACTTTGGTTTTCTTTTCCCAGTATGTGAATGTTCTGTTTTCTAGATGGGCTATATTGGAATAATGCTGTTTTAAAAAAATTAAACAGATGTTAGTTACTGAATTTTAGTTTCTTTTCCTCTAGCTTTACCATAGGGTGAGGCAGAAGCTTGCATGTTGCCAATCTTTCTTTTAACTCTACAGATATTGTGTATGGCCTACAGATAAGGCCTTCAACACTGAAATAAGGCTTTGAGTAGGGAAGTCCTCTTGTTACCAGTTGTACAAGTAATAGGGGCAGCATTGAGCAGTCTGGTTAGTTATGTAGCTGTCCACCATACTGCACGAAGGAGAGATTTATTTTGTATGACCTGTTACTTTAGTGAATACCATTCTGTCCCCTCCCTGTCCCCCTGAGTTTGCCTGGGACATGAGCAAGGCTGAGGTCTCACTTGTTTCACTTGGATGGTTTTTTTTAGCTACAACAGGATAGAATGCAGATAAAGCGCTTTTCCCAATTTGCTTACAGACTCATTTGAGCTAGTTACTAGCTTTTTAATAAACATTCCTAATGCCCTTTTTGAATTCAGACTTCGTTTTGAAAATCTGTTCAATTTCCTGCCTTGATCAGCTGGATCAAAATCAGTTTTCTCTCTGCAAGCTAATTCACCCAGTCCTCATTGGTGCTCGAAAATACTCGGCGTTCATAGCAACTAAGTGATTTAGGGTGAGTGAAGATGGTAGATTGTCATGCACCTACGGTAACCTTCTAAGCAACAATGTTATGTGGGAGTTGGTGACAAGCTGGCCATACTGACTCTGTGTGTGATTTTAAAGTTGCGATCTTTAGCTTGTCGAAACGAATGTCCAAGGCATGCGATCTGCATGCATCTAAGGGTGGTAATTCTGCTTCCAGGTCCTTTTGGCCTATGGTCTGTTGGGACTGCCAGAAGGAGTTTGTTGTGTTTATGATGTGTATACCCATCCACCAAGAATTCATTTTCACATTGGCAACCAAACAGCTGGAAATTGGCTAACTGCTTTAAATCACTGCTTTACGGGCAAGTTGGTAATGCAGAGTTGCAAAAATGTGTATTCTAGCGTCAGCTCTGTGGAGAATCCTGTATTTCTATCTGTTGTGAAGGAGAAGACTTTCAGGGCCCTCAGGGGAACAACTTCCATAAATCCTCCATAGGCCTCAGCGAGGTTAGGTTACTTCTGTTCATTATCCATTGCTCCTTATCTAAAATGAACACAACCAAAACTGCTGTGTTGTCAATGTTGGTTTTGAGCATGAAGGCCATAAGCGGTTGAGGATTCCTGGAACAGCGAACCACGAAAACCTGAGTGGCAGTTTATCAATAGCTGTTTTTCAATTATATATTTGTCCTGCTGGCTTATCTTTAAAGCTTGTTGCTGAGGCTGAAGAGAGCAATACGTCTTGGGCTGTTTCCTGAGTGGGATACTGTTTTTAGTAGCAGTGGTTTTAGATCGCAAGTTTGAAAATGTATATGATAGCCCTGGGAGGAGGGAGTAAAAACTTTGATACTAATGGTGGCTAAAATTTTGGTCTAAGTTCATATTTAGGCACCTGTCTAGGGATGTGGTGTGACTTCAGAGATGCTGAGAGCCTGCAGCTCCTGTTGATTGCAGTAGGGGTATGTGGTTACTCATCATCACTAATGAAAGTTGTGCGACTTGTATTTAGATAGTTGGGTTTATGATCCTAACTTTAGGCACCCAGATGAGGGAATTTTAGTCAAACTCTGAACATGCATATTATCCCTGAATTACAGTGTGTGTGTCAATGGGTTTCTTTTAATATTGCTCTTAAAACTCCTGAGACTTGTAAACACAGGACAATTTTCTTTGTCCCTCCCTCTATTTCCTGAGACTGTCTAACTACTGTGGAATAAGTAATGTTAGTTTTTAAAAAATTCTCAGCTAATGATAGAAAATAATTATTGCTTGGTTAATTTTAGAACGCTTGAAAAAAGTGAAGAAGTATTCTTAAAAAAATAGAACATAAGGAGAATCCCCTAGCTGGCAAAGTATTGATCAATCTGTAGATCATGGGAGGAGATTATATGCAGAAATGCCATGCTTCTGAACCCTGCCATGGTGTCCAACCAGTTCTGTAGCAAACTAGCCACACTGAACCGGCCAAATAGCCACATATATAGCCACAAATAGCCTGTTGGACACCACAGCTGTAAATCAGGCCGTACGCAGAAATTTCTCTGGGGGGCTGCTTTTTATTTGGAAATGTGGACCAAAAGAGTGAATGCACCCCTCATGGTCCCTCAAGAAAATGGGGAAATCAGCCCCAGCCTTCCCCCGGCCGGCCAGAGCATGGGGGAGGGAGTCTTGGCCAGCGTGCCGCTCCTGCCTTCCCCTGGCCATCTGAAGCACGCTTACTTAGGGGACCATGGCGGGGTGCTTTCACACCTTTCGTGCACACCCCCGCCGCATACAGCCCTGAGATGTCATTTTCACTGTCTTTGGAGTCTTTAGTTCTATTGCATGGGGCTTTCTATGTTACATGGTGAATTTTGTTTCACCTTAAATCTATATTTCCAAAACGCGTGGTGGAGTTGAAGTAGCAGAAGTTTTACAGGACAGAGTTGGGGTGAACAGTACAGTTGTCTGACCTTCTTCATTTTATACTTAGTTGACAGAAAACGGAAATTAAACTCTGACTAATACAGTTGTTAGTAATGTTTTCAAGGATTTAGCTTGAGAGATGTGAGAGTTTAACCTCCCCACCAACACCTTAAAAGTAACTTATCTTTGGCCACATTTGCTCCAATCCCTCAGACAGAGACAGACAGCTATAGGATCTCTAAAAACATTCTTAAAACTACAGTACACACCTGGATAAGTGAAGAAACAGATTGACAGAGACAGGCAGATACTCAGAAGTCACCTACTACAGGATGGACTCAATAAAGAAAGCTATAGGATACTACTAGCCACTACCTACAGTCCCTAGCTAAAACCTCTCCCAGTTCATCATTAGGGATCTACAGCCTAGCCTAGAAGGCTTTGTCTCTGAGACCTGGGGAGGCAGGCCAATCCTCATTTACAGAGAGCTCCCCAACCTGAAACACATACTCACACTAACTGCATGCCGCACGACAGAAACACTAACCTAGGAATTGATCTCTGCAACAAACCCTCTTGACAACTCTGTCCACACATCTACCCGAGTGACGCGGTTACAGGACCTGACCACATCAGCTATACCAGAAAAGGTGTGTTCTCCTGCGCATCTCATATGTGATATGTGCCAGCAATGCCCCTCTGCCATGTACATCAGACAAACCGGACTGTGTCTGCGTAAGAGAATAAATGGACACAAATCAGACCTAAAGAATGGTAACATGCCAAAACCAGTGGGAGAACATTTTAACCTCCCTGGACACACAGTTACAGACTTGAAAGTTGCCATCTTCAATCAAAAAAACTTCCAAAACAGACCGCAGCATGAAACTGCTGAGCTGGAATTCATATACAAATTTGACACCATCAGAATGGGTTTGAAAAGGGGCTGGGAATGGCTCACTCATTACAATAAGTTTTCCACTTTAGGTATTCTCACCACCTTCTTCAGTCCACCCTGATTGAATTAGCTCTGATGTGGCACTCCCATCTCTGTATCCCTCCTATTTGGGTCCCCCCCCCCTTTCACTTCGTGCATCTGACAAGTGAGTTGCAACTCAGGAAGGCTTATGCCATAATACAATTTGTTAGTCTTTAGGGTGCCACCAGACTCTTTGTGATTTTTGGCTTTCTTTGAAGTTGGATTGCTTCACTCATTTATATGGTCCTTATAGATGAGCTGAGATGCTAGACGCAACTTTTCATTCACATGTTGTTACCTTATCTTCTTACACTCATCCAGTTGAGTAGTGCTGAGGATCAATAAATAGAGCACACGTTTAGGCCACCTAGTAAGTAAGCCATAGGCATTGTATTCATATAGCCATTACAGTAAAAAGCTCTTTAACAATGCTCTGAAGAATGACCATATAGTGGTGTTAAATATGTTTTGAAACTGAGGGTGGTTTCTTAACGTTTGTACTCCTTTTAAAATATTCATTGTTCCTGAACCTTGCTACCTTGCTTTTTAATGAGTGTGATGCCCTCTCTGGTTTAACTAGGTATACTTTTTATTTAAGCAATACTAATCTTCATTACATGGGGTTTATGCTCACTGGTAACATGATTCGTTTATTAGCATTCAGATTGGTGTGCTGAGCTGTTGGACCAGTGACACTGCTTTGCACTGATATTTGTACCATAGGTTGGTTAACTTAATCAAACTATGGAGACAGTTTCTGTAATTCTTGTTGAGAATTAAATCTTACTTATTTGTTTTAACTAGTTGGGTGTTAGTTGTTGGATTCAAATTTCCAAATACATTTTTTTTCCTGTAAGCCTAGTATTCATGAGGGAGAAAATACAGGTCACCTTGTGTTTAGTGCTAGCAGAATGAGTCTGTTACAATTGCAGCATTTTAACTGTTAAATGTTTTATGTGCAAGAAAAGCAGAAATTGTTGCCTTGTGTTTCAATTTCAAAATAGTCAAAACCAAACTTCATTAAATTCAGTTTATTGTGATAAGATTGAAATCTCTTCGGCATGGATAACTCTTGCCATTTAAAACAACCATGTGTTTTGTATCTCCCCATATCTAGACAAATGTATACCTCATTTACATATTGCATTTTTTCTGCTGTACCACTCTTTAACCTTCTTTAATTAATTTTTAAATGTGTTCAGATGTTCACATTTGTACTGTGTCCATGTCTAGGATAAAGCATCATTTCTTTTGGTCTCATACGAAATGAGAGAGATTATAAGGAAGCATGTTTATCTGTGAATATTTGTTTGGCATAGGTAGAAAGATTTGATCTGAAACAAACTGCAGCTTCTGTTTCATGATTTCAGGTTTTGCTGTAGTAAGCAAACTCTAGTTCCCCAAAATAAAATGTTTTGAGATCTCTTTTGAAACCATATTGTTTTGCAGATTAAATGAGTCTTGAATGTAGTTGACCAAGACTCTGCTTAACAGTTCTGTGCAAAATTAAGTATTAAATAATACTAGTAAATGTCAATTTCACAGTATTTAATTAAGTTACTAAAGGAAATGTATAGTAACTTGTTTTCCATCTGGAAAGTGTAGGTTTTGCGGCTCAGTTTTGTGTGCAGTGGAACGGCAAGCACTCCCATTGTCAGCAGCTCTGTAATTTTGTCTCTAACAGTGCTGTGAGGAAACCGTGGTGCATTCATTGTTTAAGTAAAATGCTGCAGTGGAATGGAGTGCAGATCTTACAGTTACCTGCGTGCTTAAACGTGCACAAGGAGCTGGAGAGTTTTAATTCTTTTTCAGTATTACAGGAACTGGGATTTTCAGAAAATGCAAATTTTAACAGCAGGATTTAAAGCATAGTCTGCAACCCATGACTTTTTCTTTACCGTATAGTACAGGACTATATTGGTCCTGCCATGAGGGCAGGGGACTGGACTTGATCTCTCGAGGTCCCTTCTAGTTCTATGATTCTATAATAGTAGTTGGTTTAAAGAGGTAATTTACAGCAGACCTAAAACGGATTAGATATCTATAGACATTGTAGAGTTGTGAGTTCTTTCCTTTAGCATTCTTATAACATCTTAAATATGAAATCATACCAACTCTGTTGGCTTTCCTCCCTGGTAGTGTGCAGTGATAGCTGCCAGACTACAAGACTGCAGAGAAACAAGAAAAAGTCTTTTAAAATTCATGCATCTGTACCACCTCAAAGGTGTCCAATTGCCAAAGCCTGCTAGAAAAAAGTCCCCATTTGTTGGCTGAATTAATTCTGGGTGTTTTTAATAGTGATCAGATTGTCACAAGCTGTGGAATTGTAGCATCTTGTTTGCCACGGAAGCTTTGGGGACTATATTCTTAGGCAGGGCAGTGTTTGATTTATTGACTGTTGACAACATGCTTGGTTTGTACTGTACATGAGATAAACACAGTTGCTGCGCTGAACTGCTTACTGTAGAAAAGAATTTAATCAGTCATCTCCCGGTGTGCAAAAGAGCCCTTCGTTTCCACCCATCATTTGCTTTTCTGTTTCTTGAAAACTCAGCTCTTTGAATGTGTGAAGAGACGATTCCTTTCTGTTCCTGCCTAATGCAAATAAACAAGTTCTTGTTATAGCCAAGGTCACTTTCCTGAGGCTCTCCAGTTTCTGGAACACTCCCAGGAAATGTAGCAGGGGCTGCGGGCTCCCTTAGGCACCTCTTCCCGCCTGAGGGATGGGGCGGGTGGTTCCTCAGACAGACAGCAGCTCAGAGAGCAGGTGGTATATATCCAGTTGTTAAACAGATGGTTTGCCCTCATTTTGTACCAGCTGTACAGCTGTTTCCAGTCTCGGAACCTCCTGAGCAGAGGTGAACTACTGTGGGCCTAGGCCGCAGCTGAAGACTAACAAGTCTTTTCATGTTAAAACAAGATTAGTGATTCCATGAAGAAAAGGCGTCTCACCTAGTCCACCTCATCAACTCTTCTGAGTGTGTTGCAAAACAATTAGTTGCCGTTTTTGCTTAATTACACTAGTATCAGTAAACAGGAATCCCAACATTGCCCAGAAGGTTTATTATTGCACAAGTCTTTCCACTTTGTGTGTGCAGAGAACTGTTAATGAAGCAGGGTCCAAACGAGGAAAGGGAGAGTGCATGTGGAGGGCCATGGAAATCCTTTAGTTTTCTTCTTCCTAGGTGCATGCAACTAGTCCCTTTCCTTGAAAATCAAGACTGTCCATTTATTCTCTATGGTTTGACGACAGACTTCCGGGGTCACTCAGGCTGACTGCATTCAGCAGATATCTCAGGAAATACGCAGTATGTCCTGTTGTCTGAAACAAGTTAAGACGGCAGGCACTTCAACCACTTGTCGCTTGGAAGCATCTCAGACCACCTCACAATAGACTTTGTAGAATGTAGCCTTCTTAAACTGCAGTATTTCCATTTTTTTAGACCCTGTGGTGAATTGTCAGTGAAACTTGGTCCGAGTGGCCGCATGTCACAATTTTCCCTTCGCCCCTGTCGAGCAGGCTTACCTGAAATGTAATCTAGTCTGATAGTTCAGTGTAGCTGTGGCTCTGTGGATTATATCTGGATATACTGGATATACACCAGTCATCTGAAGAAGTGGGCTGTGCCCGCGAAAGCTCAGGACACCATCTATATGTTTTGTTAGTCTATAAAATGATACCAGACCATTTGTTGTTTTTAAGTTGATCCTGCTGTTTGTTAGGGATGTTAGCATGTAGTCATTTACACGATTAACTGATAAACCTGGGCTCATCGGTTAATCCTAAAGGTGCTTGCGGGGAGTGGGCTTGAAAAATCCAGTGGTTACACATTTACAAAAATAAATGTTGGCTACCATCCCTCCTGTTTGTTTATATTCATATATCGTGCTTCTGAAAAATAGCCCTGCCAAACAGAGACAGTGATTTTGGGAGAAATAACACTTGCTACTGATGGCTTTGATAGGCCAGTCTGATGATATGTATGCATTTGTTGGAACAGTGTTTGCTCACATGCTTCTCATTGTGCTCTCCACACAGGTTCCAATGATTCTGGTTGGCAATAAATGTGACCTGGAAGATGAACGCGTAGTCGGCAAAGAACAGGGTCAGAACTTAGCAAGACAGTGGTGTAACTGTGCCTTTCTAGAATCGTCTGCGAAGTCTAAAATCAACGTTAATGAGGTAATACTAGCTATGTCATTGCTTAGTAGTGATTGAGGGGCTCTGTGGCCAGAGGGACACGCCAGTGAACTGTGCAGGGAGGTGTTAAACTCATGAGTGACTATGTCCAGTGCAGTCACAGGACAGATAAAAGCATCCCTAACGAGTGAACCATGATATTTCCAGTCCCTCTCAAACATGTATTCACTCCACTAGCACGCCATAGAAAAGATGATTACCATGGACATTAATCTCTGCATGGAGCTCTGTTAAACGGGGCAATAAATTAGGAGGCTGAATCTTTAGATTCATGGTGTCCAACACACTAACCACGTATGTGTGGCTATTTAGCTGGTTGAAGTGTAGCTAGTTCACTTTAGCAGTAGCCACTATAGTTGGCTGGTTGGACACTGGCTTTAGATAGTCCAGGCAAGTATCTGAATCCCCAGTTTGCTTCCTTACATGTGCACGTATACAGGGACCATGTTGTGGTGTCTAAGATGCCTTTGACACCCAAGTGGCAGCTTAATCAGTTATGTGAAATTTGTCTTTGTGCCAGATGTGCTGGTTTCCAGGGCACCTATTGCCAGGGCATTTCAGCCTGATGCGATACCCCGCCACAAGCCTCTCTCATTTTTTAAATTGGAGACCATACCAAAAAAGAGCATTTCATCATCTGGTTGTGACAAACAAAAGCTGGGAAAAGCAAAGAGAAGGAAGACTCCTTTTCTGAGGCAAACTATTATGCAGCATGTTTGTTTTGGCTGCAGTGGTTGAATGGCAGAAGTGTTGGTCTTAATCTTATTTTTTCTGACTAATATGGGGTTTTATGCTCTTTAAATATATTAAAATATGGAGGGGAGGGGAATTAAATTTTTTGGCCATTAGCTGAAAAGGCAGTCTTAAACACTTCACATACACAGGAAGCGTCTAAGGAGTTTCTTTGCATACTCTAGTAGCTCTTCAGACGTTATCTTTCTGGTGGCTTATACAACTGTGCCACAGTCTTCTATGTAGACCTGTAGCAGGAATCTCGCATGTCCACTAAAAACACCTAACAGAGTGACCATAGATTTTCCAAAGTGACTGGTGATAGTTGTGCACCTCCATTTTTGCCTGCCTACTTAGATTGAGAGGCGCTTTTTCCCCCCAGAGTAAGCATGCTCAGCACTTTGAAAAATTCAGGCTTTTTTACATGGTATCATAGGAAGGGAAAGGCACTGCTTTCCTAAATTGCTTCACCTGACCCCACCCATGCTCCACAGAGCCACTCCCCCAGCCTGCTGTTGTGAAACCAGAGGCAGCTACTCTGGCTGTCCAGCCCTGGGGCTGGCTACTCAGTTGCAGGGGGGGCCTTAATGGTCAGGGGTGCGAGTAGTACAGCCCCAGCCTTGGGCAGGCTGCAGCCACACTCCAGGGCTGGGAGAGACTGCGGCTGTGCTGCCCGCTGGGTCTGCAGAGCTCTGGGGCCAAGGGAGGGTGGGGTCGCCAACCTGGGGCAGGGAGGGGGCAAGGGCCAGCGGTCATATTGCAGGGCAGGAGGGATGGGCTGGGCAGGGGCCTGCAGCAGGGACAGAGGCCAGGGCTCTGGTGAGCCTGGCTAAGCCATGAGGACAAAAAAATCTTGTCCCCTGGCTTGTAAAGACAAAATACTGTAAGCAATTC